GGTACGGGGGCAACACTGAGGGTTGCGATCCGTTGCCGGACACGGAAAAAGACAAAAGACAAAAAAAAAAAAAAAAAGTTAATCAATTTAAAGTACTTAAAAACTATTAAACTATCCCAACTGCTGTAAAAAACAGCTTTTTTGCTGGTTAACCTATGAATTTTTAAAAGGAGCTTCACAGATAAACTTAAAGAATACATCATTTGCAAGCATTTAACATATCACACGTAGCCTAATTCACATGGTTTTAACAGGTCCCCCCCACCCCCACATATTTACAGTACATGTGTTCAGTTGCCTGACCTGGCTGTGATACCGCAGTGGCTGTAAACTGAGTAGCCCATGGCGGATTCTTCTGTCCTCCAAACTGAGCCATGATGCAAGGGGAAAAAAACCTTCGCTTGTTTGTCTTCTATAGCAGCGATCTATTAAGAAAGGATCCACATTTTAAAGTTCAACCAAACTACAAATATCACAAAAGGATATTTTAAAGAAATGTTTACTGTATCAAGGACAACATATAACTAAGTAGAAATAACGACTGGAGTAGAAAGAGAACAAATGAACATATGAAAACCATTTTACATTAAGTAGATCACCAAAAGTACTCTATTTTAAAAGAAAACATTAGGTAGACTTACAAGCAAGGCACTTCTTTCTACGACTACGAACTGTCACATTTAGACGGAAGGCTATCTGCTGTACCTAACGAATTGTTTGCGGAAAGTAGTTCACAACTTTATATTCACAGGAAATACAGCCTGCGTGTTTCTTTCGGCAAAAGGTTGGGAAGTGAGGCCAGAGCAGTAGTGAAACCAATAACGGAAACTGGGACGAGACCCCGAATAAAGATATTTAATAAGATCATTTAAATAACAAACATCTTTACTTTCTCGAGGGGGGAAGGAACCGAGGGCTTCTTTTCCCTCCGTGCCTCGAGGGGAAAGGCAGTTGAGATAACGGATGCCTCTTAAAGAACCACCGCGAAGACCCCTCCCCCGAAAGTCCGGCGTGACAAGGCGCAGACCTTCGCCCGCGCCCCGGCTCCCGCCGCCGCGACTCGGCAGGGCCAGAGCTCTGCCATCCTTCTTCCTCCGGCCTCAGCTCCTCGCGGGCCGCAGACCCCCTAACGAGGAATCTACCGCCCCACGACACCAGATGAAGCGCCAACAGGGGGATACTGAGAGCCCTGGTCCCCTTAAAGCCCGGGCGGGACGGAGAAAGCCTCCATCCCCAACACCCAGACAGCCGCGCGCAGCCCCGATGCTCCAGGCCGGATGCCGGGAAGCTAAAACTGCAGTAGCTCGGAAACTAGAGGGGCAACCCCGCCGGGACGAGGCCGAGAAGCTCTGGGGACACCCAAGGGCCTCGGGGGAAAAGCGCGGTGGTGGGGGAGGGGCCGGCCGCGCGGGGCCTGCTCCGGCCGGCACAAAAGGGACCGCGTCCCTCCCGCCCTAGTCCCACGAGAGCCCCACCGTCGCCGGACCGCGGCCGCCGTGCTACCAAAACGTCCGTCCCCGGTCCCTCCGCGGATCCGATAGGATGTTAAGAATCCCGGCTTGGCTGCCTGCCGTTCCAGCCGCACGGACCAGACCTTCACCTGAGTCGGGTCCCGGTTAACACCGAAGCCATTTCAAACCCGTCAGCCTCAGGCGCATGCGCCAACTTCCCCCTCTTTCTCCACGCCACTTCTCTCCTCCCCATCTCCCGGAGGAACGGCGATTACGGGTTGACGTCCTACGTGCGCGCGCCCCGGCCCACTCTCAGTACGCTGGCCGCGGTCCCTACGCGACTAGAACGAGAGCGCGCCTGAGAAGGGTTGCCTTGGCTTCACTTAACTCTGAGCTGGCTACGTCTTTGCGCAGGCTCTGGGAGAAAGGATTTATGAGGGTGGGAAGGCGAAAAGGACGGTCACGTGATCCCATGGGGCTGCCGCCATTTTGTTTTTTCTTTTTTTTTTTTCCCCCTAGTTAAATTACTTGGGAGAATGGATATATCCTGTAACATATTCTCAACTTTTTTGAAAAATTGGGATAAAATTCGCTTATTCAGTTCACTGTTTAAAATATTTTAGGGCTGTCCGGTTAGTTCAGTTGGTTAGAATGCAGTGGTGGTAACACCAACGTCAAGGGTTGGGATCCCTGGCCAGCCACCTAAATAAAGAAATAAAAATAAAATATTTTAAAGTGTACAATTCAGTGGCTTTTTGTATACTCATATTCATAGGGTTGTGCAACCATCAGCATGACTACTACCAGAACTTTTCATCACCTGAGAAGGAAACCTGTAACTATTAACCAGTAACACTCTAATGCCTGACTTTTTTTTTGTCTTTTTTCGTGACCGGCAACGGGATCGCAACCCTCGGTGTTGCGACCGCACCTCGCCCAGCCAGTGAGCCACCGGTCTGTATGTGGGATCCGAACCCTTGGCGGGAGCGCCGCCACGCTTCCCAAGCGGCGCACTGTAGCAGTGCGCCACCGGGCTGGCCATGCCTGACGTTTTATATAAATAGAATCATATAATATGTGCCCTTTCGTGTGCCTGGGTTCTTGGACTCAGCACGTAGTTCTCAAGGTTCATCCATGTTGTAGCATGTATCAGTACTTCATTCCATTTTATGTCCAACATTGCTGTTTTACAGATATAGGGAGCTTTCTATTTTACCTATAGCTAGCAGCAATTTGGTAAAGTAGCACAGGCTTGTAACACTAAGGTCAAGGGTTGGTATCCCCATACCCTCCAGCTGCTACCCCCCCCAAAAAAAAATGTGAAGTATGTTTTTGTGGACAAAGATGAAACTTACTTTTTCCTCCCTACCTGATCCCTCCAGAATTTGGAACTATTAGTGAGTATTCTTATTTTCATGATAAAATAGTAATTTGCATGAGTTCACTAAGAATCTGCTCTACTTGTAACAGGACATAATTGTACATATTAGCAAGGTTTTGACTAGAATGTCATACTTTCAAATATGACCAGACAACTTTAAGAAACTAAGGTTGACCTTAAGGAGTCAATAAAGTATCTTGGGGAAAAAACTGACCTTGTATACATGGACATGGTTGCCTTATAGGTGAGTAAAGAATGTCACTTGCTGGCATAGCCAGGAACCCTGATACTTTGGGGCTTAAGATACTTTAAGCTCTTGAAAGGAATTCTCCCAACTCTATAGGTACTAAAGACAAAATTGGATGATGAGTCCTTAGTTTGCCTTCCTAGCCTCAAGAGGCTTTAATTTAATTAATTAATTAATTAGGCAGCTGACCAGTACAGGGATCAAACCCAGTTTGATGTTATCA